TCTTGGGCGAGGATTGAAGACTCTCGCCACGCGATATCATGCCCTGTGTGGTTAGCATGGTCTGCTAATGCAGACTTGTCACATTTATATAAAACGCACGCAGGTCATGTGTTCTTTCTTTCGCGTGGCGAAAGCTCTACCTGTCTCCCCAATATATACCACATTGTAGTCTTGGCATGGGATCTGGTATATAACGCCGGTTTTCTGTTCTTGAGGGACAGGATCTTTTGGTCTCGACAATAGCTCTTTCAAAGTTGACACTGGTTTGAAAGCAGATTTGATTCTAAAGCCATGTAAAAACTCGCTGGATCTTTTCTGTATCGCCTTTTACATAAGGTAGTACTGCATATCCTTTGGGTGGTTCAGGATTTTCATCATGTTCTATAGACGTGTTACTATTCCCTTTGTTGTGACGATATATAAATTTGCTAGGGTATCCATTYGATTTCAAAACYTKGTTRAGATGTTTCTTCTCCATTATTACATTATCAATGTGGTTTGGTAATGTTTCAGCTCGAGAATACAMGGTTCTGACTACAGAGATCTTGTGTTGCGGAGCATGGYGACTARMAAAATTTAAATATCTATCCGTACGAGTTTTCTTACGGTAGACTGTAACGCTTATACTWCCGTCATCTAAARTTACGTTGTTGGTGTCAAGGAATGGTAAACCTTTAGRAGAGTATTTCTCAACAGTAAACTTAATKTAAGGCTTCATCTGGTTGTCCAGGTGTTGTTTGAAAGAATCAATGGCTTCCTTAAGAATKACGCAAATGRTGTCATCCACGTACCTTTTGAAAATCCTAGGTGGTGTGAGGAACGTTGTAAGTGCCTTGTTTTCTAATACTTCCATGACTAAGTCAGCTACCACCACTGAAACTGGGGAGCCCATGGCAGTTCCATGTATCTGTCTGTAGTATTGCCCCTTGAATTGCAAGTCAGTTGCACCCAAGCAAAACGATAGGAGTGATGATATTTCTGTAGGTHTCAACTGCGTCCGTTCAGCTAGAGTTTGATCAGCTATAAGTCGGGATAGAGGGGGCATCAACAGCTACTTTAGTGGGGATGRATGTAAATAGCGAAACAACATCAAATGATACCAAYTCCTCATCTGGCCGAGCTTCAAGGTAGATGCTAACTCAGTCCATTCTTTGGAGTTTTTTTAAAAAATGTGTTGTTGGGTGTTTCCTATTAGAGGAGATAAGATGTAGCAGAGATACTTCGATAGGTGATATGTGGTTGAGCCAATAAAACTAAYTATAGGACGTAAAGGAATACCATCTTTATGCAGCTTTGGGATGCCATACAATCGAGGAGTTACACCATCTTTGACACAAATCTTTTTGTAAGTAGCTTCAGGGATTCTGTTCTCCAATTTAGATAACAATTTATGCATTTCCTTTTCACAAGATTTAGAAGGATCTTCCTGCAGCTTTAAATATGTATTAGTGTCACTTAACATGTCGTTTAATTTCTTATCGTAGTCAGTTCTATTCATCACTGCAGTTGAGTTTCCCTTGTCGGTTTTAAGAACAATAATTATACTTTTGTCTTATGAAAGGGATTTTAAAGCTTTGATTTYATTCCTGTTAAGGTTACTAGGTGGTGGCTTTACAGATGATAGAATACCAGCTACTTTACTGCGTACCGTTGCTTTTTCTTCGGCATTTAAATTGTGCAAAGAGCTCTCTATTTCAGTGACAAATTGCTCAATGGGTATTTTTTAGGCACTGGTGCAAAATTCAACCCTTTAGATAACAATGATTTTTTAGCATCAGCGAGAGGGTCTGTCGGATAGATTTCTAACCCAATTTGTAGTTCCTTGATCTGTCAAAGGTGTGGTCTTTTTTGTTCGCTTTTCCCTCATCTTTTCAAGTTTGAGAGTGTGTTTAGTTCGAGTTTCTTTGTAGACACGATCAAAGTGGAGTCTAAGTTCTCTGTCCAGATGCCTGAAAAGTCTATCATTGCATACCTTTTTGAGAGTTGATGAAAGATTGTCAAAGGTTTCCTGCCATGTTTTCGCAGCATTAGATGATTATCGTAGATTAATTAGTTTGAAACTAAATCGCTGTGCAAGTTTGTAGCCTTCATAGCTACGCGTTGGTGGTCTTATATGAAGAGAGTCAGGTAGTAGTTCTTCATCTTTACAACGGTGGTTGAAAGAACAAGTGACACTTCTGTTTCGCCATGTTACCCTTTGTTACAAAARGTTTCCTCGCCAAACGAAAGTTGTCAATTCCACATTCTTGTTGTGTCAATGTTAAAATTTCAACGAGAAAACGCTTATTAATTCATTTCCAATGGTGCTGGGAAAGTTGAAAGACTACATTTACGGAAAAAAACTCTATCAAAAAATAAGGCCCATAGAAATTAGATCATGTTGTTCTTTAACTCGGATGGGTCAACAATTGGGTCGAGTCTCCACGAGAGCAGGTTGATATAGTTGCCTTGATACGGGGAAGCATCAAAAATGTCATTTCCTCAGCCGCCTGCATATTATTGTCTCGCCTGAGTTGGTCTACGTCGAGAAGATCGGCCGTATTTGGTTTTCCAAAGTAAAAAATGSTACACATTTTCGTGCATTCCTGGTAGAATAAACCACTTGGTATYGAGAAAACACTCAAAAGGCTGAATCTCTCGGCTCCTTTCGTTTTTCGTGCTTCATTTTAGCAGGAACGCACGAAAATTTGTTGTTTATTGCTTAATGAAAAAATGAGATAGAGTACACACGTTATATCTATAATACAAGAATTGTAGATTCTAAATTATGCTGATTCCCTTGCTACGAAGATTGCGAAACAATCGAAGAGTTATTGGAGGGGGACGAATCTGTCACTCAATCACTCACTTTCCTGTAAACTTGACCCTGCGTTACTTGTGTTCAGAACTATTAATTTATTCTCATTGTTTTCTAGTAATTTACTCATTAATTTACAGTTACCGGGTTCCCTGTTCTATTTTTGATTGAATTTATGTTGTTGTTTTTTTGCCAAAGAAAGAAATCTAAAGAAATGTCAGCTCCTCTGGGCCACGAACCTCAGAATCGAAGGCACTACCACTTGGCCACSCGTACCAATGTTACATAATTGCGGCTAAGAATCGAAGCTAGAAATAATTAGATTTTAACGAAAAAAATGTATTCATAAATCGTTTAATTAAAATTCTATTTGTAAAGGACATTATAATTTGATTCTTCGTATCGTTCAGTCGCGAAGGTCGAAGCAAGCAAAGAAGACTGGCCGATCCTCCAAATTCGTTTCAAAAATGATTGTGACACGTGCTT